CAACGTTTCGACAAGGCTTTGTCATCATCAGGTACTAAGCTCAATATAGTAACTACTAAGCCCATCCAGAGCCAAAAGTAATAAAAACAACAATCAAAACACAAACACATATATGTGTGGAGGCCAGGCGTAGCCTACTGGTTAGCATGCCGGAAAGTGCATTCAAGGGTCCATGTTTTGTGTCACTTTACCACAAAAAAACACCACGCTCCACACTTTGGACTCGTGTTTGGGCGTTGTAAGATTAAGATTGAAATCCCACAATTCGTGATGGGTGCTTCTGACTAACTACCTGCCCTCCCTCTAGTTCATCAGCTTCAAGTAGGAGAAAACTAATGTAGATGTTCTTGATGTAGTTTTTGCGCGATTATCCTAAATTACCATATAAGGTAGGATTACTTAGTAAATTAAATCGTTTTTATTATTAAGACAATACACAAACAATATTTATTTCTTTTTAAGATGTTAGGAATTTTTATTTATTTTAAAGTTAATTTTTTAAACATTATAAAAAAAAATCTTGATTATATAAATTTACCATAGCGCCACCTATGTGTGTATTGTATCATGTTGAGTAGGTTTTAGTTTTGTTTCAAGCACTGTTCCAGATAATTTATAGAATATTTCACCGGTACTTCCGATCAAAGTGCAATCTTGTTTCGGAATTGCGAGTATTGGATCCGTCAGATTCCGAACTATACACTTGATGTTTTTTGTTTAATTTTTCTGATGTTGTTGTATAGTGTAGACCGCAGGAATTCCACAGTAATGTGAGCAATTCTGTTCCATTTCAGCCACTTTTATAAGGACTTTTGTGTCACACATACTTTGACAATGGTGGTGGACACTTTGAACATTTGTAATGTCATACTGATTCAGTGACCATACATGTACAAGTTAATTATAAAAAAAAAACTTATTGTTTTGTATTCCTTTAATGGGTGAAGAAATTATTGTTACTTTACTTATTGTTTTGTATTTCTTTAATGGGTGAAGAAAGGATTGTTACTTTACTTATTGTTTTGTATTCCTTTAATGAGTGAAGAAAGGATTGTTACTTTACTTATTGTTTCGTTTTCCTTTAATGAGTGAAGAAAGGATTGTTACTTTACTTATTATTCCTTTAATGGGTGAAGAAAGGATTGTTACTTTACTTATTGTTTCGTTTGCCTTTGATGGGTGAAGAAAGGATTGTTAGTTTACTTATTATTCCTTTAATGGGTGAAAAAAGGTTTGTTACTTTACTTATTGTTTTGTATTAATTTAATGGGTGAAGAAAGGTTTGTTACTTTACTTATTGTTTTGTATTAATTTAATGGGTGAAGAAAGGATTGTTACTTTACTTATTGTTTCGTTTTCCTTTAATGGGTGAAGAAAGGATTGTTACTTTACTTATTGTTTCGTTTTCCTTTAATGGGTGAACAAAGGATTGTTACTTTACTTATTGTTTTGTATTCCTTTAATGTGTGAAGAAAGGATTGTTACTTTACTTATTGTTTCGTTTGCCTTTGATGGGTGAAGAAAGGATTGTTACTTTACTTATTGTTTTGTATTAATTTAATGGGTGAAGAAAGGATTGTTACTTTACTTATTGTTTTGTATTCCTTTAATGTGTGAAGAAAGGATTGTTACTTTACTTATTGTTTTGTATTCCTTTAATGGGTGAAGAAAGGATTGTTACTTTACTTATTGTTTCGTTTTCCTTTAATGGGTGAAGAAATAATATAAGACCCACCCGGTATCTTACAGAAAAGTAACAAATAGAAGTGTGAAGACTAGAAGCATTCTGATATAACCGCGAACGTGTTTATAACACAACATTTTAAGGGAAACACTGCGAAGCGCTAAAAATAAGTTATTATTGATTTTGAGCTTCTATATAACTACCACGTCCAATAGCGTTCGTGAAACCATGTCGCATGTAGACTGCCGATCGGTTCCTGTTTTGAAAAAAAAACAAAAACAAAAAACAATTTTCTAGAAAGGCTGAACTTCAGGGACAAGTAAGTTTGTTAAGGGCCATGTTTAAATACTTCTCTGATATGATTCGTTGGCAAAAAGTAGCCTAACAATTGGTGGTGGGCGGTGTTGAGTAGCTGCCTGATATAGTCTATCACTTCAAAATTAAGGAGGCCCGGCATGGCCAGGTGGTTAGGGAGCACGACCCGCAATCTGCGGGTCGCGGGTTCGATTTCCCGACCCACCAAACATACTCGCCGTGGGCGTTATAATGTGATGGTCAATCCCAATATTTGTTGATAAAAAGAGTAGCCCAAGAGTTGGCGGTAGGTGATGATGACTAGCTGCCTTCCTTCTAGTATTACACTGCTAAATTAGGGATGGCTAGCGCAGATAGCCCTCGTTTAGCTTTGCTCGAAATTAAAACAAACAAACAAACAAAATTAAAAGAGGTTAGTGCAGACAGTCCTCGAGTACGTTTGCGGGAAATTTAAACCAACAAAAATGAACTGAAACGTAGGGCCGGAAACCAGTTACCATCTACCAGGGGGAGGGGGAGGAAGAGGTCAAATTAACCTGACTCTCCCAGGTCTATAACATCTAAACTCCGATAAAGATCACAGACAGAGAGACAGAAATCGATTAAGGAGTTGTCAGATAAATGTTGTCATGTGATAAATAATTTGAATTTTTTTTTTTCCGCATATCTTTTAAAGAACTTGCTGAAGGCTATCGAATCAATTTCGTCTTTTCTTAGGCTGGAGAAAATATTATTGTTGTTTTCGGTTATTTCAAAATTTCCCACAAAGCTACTCAAAAGACATCTGACCATAGCCGACCCTACTTTTGAACTGATAAACCAGAGAGAGGGTATCTAGTCAACAGAACCCACTAGTCAACATTACATTGTCACTGCTATAGCATACTCACGGCTCTAAGTTGGTTGGGTTGTTGTTAAGCGTAGAGCTGCACAATGGGCTATATGTGTTTTGCCAACCACGGGTATCTAAACCTAATATTTAGCGTCGTAAACCTGTAGACTTTCCACTCAGCCCCCCCTGGGTAGGGTGGGGGCAGGGTTTTAAAGTGTGGAGTACATCTCTATCTTCTTTTTTTTCTGTGGAGGGCCACAAACAGAATGCAAACCGTGAATCCCTGGATCGACAACCCAGGCACATTAACCACACTCGTTTTTTTTTGATAAAAGTTTGTGTGTGTGTATGTTTGTTTTCTGATCAAAGGGAAAGACGCTTCCCGATAAATGTAGAACCGAATTTTACATATTCATAAAAAAATTGGTAAACAATCCAGACGATGGTACGGAACACAAAATAGCCACATTGGGGCATCTGCTGTTTCCACCGCCGGGAATCGAACCCCGGGTTTTTGTGTTGTAAGTCCGGGGGGGGGGGTAACACAATGAAATGAATTTATTTCGAATTGTTATTCAGTTAAACGTGTAATCCAAAATTAGTGTGGATTATATCCCATGTAACTCGACTGTGAGCTTGCGGATTAATGGCGAATATATGCGATCCATGTAAACATATAGTCCTAATTGAATATATGCGGTCCATGTAAACATATAGTCCTAACTGAATGTTAATTCTATCCCATTTGTATTCCCCCCAATAAATTGTTTTTTTTCCCTGTAGCTCAGCGGCGAACTTGAGAGCTTACGACTAAAATTTGGGGCTCGATCCCTGCGCTGTGCACGGCGCAGTTGATTCATTGTGTAGCTCTGTGCTTAAAACAAATAAACAAAATCGTCAATAGGTATCGCTAAATCAGCTGTTTTTCTAAAATTCTTCTTCTTGTGTATTATGTAATAGGTATAGTTTCTCTCTATAGTTAAGTCTTTTGGGTTTACGACGCTAAAAAAAAAACGGGTTTCGATACTTGTGGTGAGCAGAGCACAGATAGTCCATTATGTAGTTTTGCGCTTAACAACATCCAAACAAATAGGTGTAGTTAGTGCAAGGGCCTTTTTTTTTTCTGGCAATTACTAGAGCAAAAATAGAAAACGTTCCCTTTGACTTAAATGAGATATAATGTCTGCGGACTTACAACGCTAGAAACCGGGTTTAGATACCCGTGATAGGCAGACCACAGATAGCCCATTGTGTATCTTTGTGCGTAATTACAAAGAAAGAAACAAACTTTTTGTGGATATGTTGCAATGGGAAAAATTGTAGAATTAATATGTGTGCGTTTTATGCCCACGAAGAGGTGTGTTTGTGGAATCGATATGACTATATTTCGGTTATTTAATATTTTCTGTTACGAGCCGTAGTGTGCGTGTGAGAGAAGTAAAATAATTATCGCTGCCTATTACGCTCCATTACGTTCTACAGAGAAAAAAACAAACTTCTTCAAAAATGATTCATCGATTAATAACAAAAATGGTCAACAGATGGCGCCGTGAATTTGAATTATTCTGATGTATTTTAAGCAAATTAATTGAATTTTCCAACTTCAGTCAGTAATATGTAAACGTCCACATGTGCGTGAGCCCATTGTTTTCTTTTCATCACTTTACTGTATTATTGAATGTCTTTATATGTGTAACTGTTCTGTATCGTCCAGCCACTTGTTTCTTCTGCCTAAAATCAACTTGATTGTTGAAATTCTCTGCTAGTTTTTTTATGATATTGAAAAATAAAATCAAATCCAAAATATCGTATAGGAAGACTAAAACTAAAATTTTTCGGGTGGAGAATTAATTTAGCGAATTGTGTGCCGATTTGGTGTAAAATATATTTGTAATTTGGTAGTTTTAACTGAAAGGTACTTATGCGCATGTCAACGTAGACGATCAAGTCAGAGCTCCCCTAAGGTTCAGGCATAGCCGTTCCTAATTTTAAACTACTGACCATAGAGAAGACAGTCGGCCAGCAACACGCACTGTCACTTAGACCTTGTCTTATTTTCAAACCGAATTACGATATTGACTGTTAATTTTATAACGCACCCACATGTTCAGCGTCACCATGCCTTGAACCTTGGACCCTCGATACGCAGCCCGGAACATAACCACGTGGCTATGATCGGCCCGGAAAATATAATTAGCCATATGAAAACATGTTTTTCCAGCATGACGCAATAAGGCCAAAAAGATAAAAAAAAAAGTAGTGTTACTTCAAAACTAAAATAAACAAGGTTGTTACACGAATGAAGATAAATTATACTAACCACTACTGTTGTCACCCGGTAAACAGTCACAGCAGTGTAGTTATCAAGAACTGTTGGTGAAATATTAGCTTCCATTACAATTCCCGAAGGTTTGCCATAAGTCCAAGTTGCAAGCTGTGATTAGAAAAATATAAGTGAGTTAGTAGAGACCTATTTTATTTTAACAATGAGTTAGTAGAGACCTATTTAATTTAACAATGAGTTAGTAGAGACCTATTTTATTTTAACAATGAGTTAGTAGAGACCTATTTTATTTTAACGTTGAGTTAGTAGAGACCTATTTTATTTTAACAATGAGTTAGTAGAGACCTATTTCAGTTTAACAATGTGTTAGTAGAGACATATTTTATTTTAACAATGAGTTAGTAGAGACTTATTTTATTTTAACAATGAGTTAGTAGAGACCTATTTCAGTTTAACAATGAGTTAGTAGAGACATATTTTATTTTAACAATGAGTTAGTAGAGACCTATTTTATCGTAACAATGTTTTCGATTACAATGTTATTGCTGAAGCTTGGATCAAAGAATTCGTAAAAAAATTATCTTTTACGTAAAACATTTTACTTTCGCAAATAATTTCTCGGTGATTTCCGTTCCCACTTTGACCTTTGACTTACTAAAAGTACGTAAATTAAACATCGTAATTAAACACGCATAAGAACCGATGATTTCCGTTCCTACTTTGACCTTTGACTTACTAAAAGTACGTAAATTAAACATCGTAATTAAACACGCATAAGAACCGATGATTTCCGTTCCTACTTTGACCTTTGACTTACTAAAAGTACGTAAATTAAACATCGTAATTAAACACGCATAAGAACCGATGATTTCCGTTCCTACTTTGACCTTTGACTTACTAAAAGTACATAAATTAAAATCGTAATTAAACACGCATAAGAAAAAATATATGCCAATCAAACTGCCATTTTCTGCTAACAGCCATAAAAATATTTTATAAATTAAAAAGGTGACCAATTTCTTCTGTACTGTATTCACGAAAAAGAAAGTAAAATAATAGAGAGAGAGAGAGAGAAGATTGACCAAGCTTTGTAATAACGTTACCTTCTTTCTCTCGGGAGCTTTATCATTCGCAATTTTAATGGACTCAAAGAGTAGCTTTAGTTCTTGATAATTTTTTCCGTTCTGGTTGATGACAAACCTGCCGTAAGCACCATCAAAAGATTCCTGAAATCATAATATAAAAATAAGCATGGCGTTTCAGGAGACAATAACCACTCTGTGTCGTTTATCAGGAATGAAGAAAATGAATAGGAGGATTTTTTCTCACTATTCTTATAAAATAAGTAATTCTGAATAAATAAAAAAAAATCAATTAGAAACACCTCCAAAAATATGTCGTAGTTAAAGAAACCCATAATGCAATGTGGCATCGAGTGTCGGTAGTTTTACCAAACATGAAAAAACAAAGGATGATAAGAAAGACGTCATTTGTTCTATGTGTTCGTTGCAGGTCCTTATCGTATATATATATATATTTTAGCATTAAATGATAGGTTGGAATGTTAAACGTGTGGAGTTTCTGTTTAGTCATGCCCTAAATATGCCCCAAACAGTCAGTCTGACAGTAGAAATGAATATCGTGCAATGTATTTCATCACAGACCACAAGGTGCGAAAGACGGGCAACGTTTGTTTGTTTGTAGCTAAGCACAAAGCCACACAATGGGCGATCTGTGCTCTGCCCACTATTGGTATCGAAAACCGGTTTCTAGCGTTGTAAGTCCACAGACATGCCGCTGTACCACTGCGGAGGGCCGAACAAACTTACAAATACACAACTCGTTTGGGCTTGCGGGAGATTAACTAATGGTATGCTGTCACCTGGTGACTCAACTGTAAGATTGAGGGCTTATAACACTAAAACTCAAGGTTCGATACCCGCATTTGGCATAGCAAAAAAAAACCAACAAAAAAGTCTATTGTGTAGCTTTGTGCTTAAAAACAAACAGCCACCCTAATAATCTTGAATGAATTTATTTTGGTTAGAACAAACTGCATCAGGAGAGTAAGTTGTTGCTAAAGGTTTTGGTTTTTTGGTTGTTGCTAAGTGCAAAGCTGCACATTGGGCTATCTCTGTTTTGTCTACTGTAGGAGCTTCATAGGAACAGTTGTAATATGAATTACCTGCTTCGGATAACCTATTTTATATGTTTATATAAAGTGCTGAAAACTAAAGGAGTGGAGCTTGGTCATCGTGGTAAAGTTTGAAGTTCAGAGCTGGCAAGCCATGGGCGCGTTATAAGTACGACAGTCGATCCTTCTGGTGAGTAGTTAAAAATTACGGACGGCGGCAAATAGCCTTATCCATATGGTGGAGCTCTGGATTTCGAAGCTGGCGAGCCTGAATCGAATTTGTGCAATACCACAATATATTTCCACACACTTTAAGCCGTTGGTGCGTTATAAATGTGACAGTCAATCCCTATGGTCAGTAGTTCAAAAATAGGGAAGGCGACGGCAAATAGCTTTAGTAACTTTGCCAGAAATAGAAAAAAATAGCGTAAAAACCTTTACACAGATTTTATAAAAATAAATAAAATCACTGTTGTTTCATTCGTATATTTTCGAAACACTTGCTACGTTTTTTTTATTTTTTGCCCCCATACATATATGATGAATAAAATAAGGAAAGACTGAACTTATTTCGAAAGCCACAACAACTTAACAGAATACGCGTTAACGAAAACAAATTCGTTTTATTCAATGAAACAAGAAAGAGATCTGATCACAGACACCCTCCGTAACAAACAGATACATGTCTCTAAATGGTAGTTTATCGTAAATATATATATAATACATGTAATGCAGATAAAACACTTTTACAGGGGCTTGTTATTTAAAATTGGTCTCTGCATGATACATCACTCTTGCGTTTTTAACTGAACGTCAGATAATTTGACGGTCACCCTCAGAGTCAGCGGTAAGATTAGGGGCTTGAAATGCTAAAATCCGGGATTCGATTCCCCGCGGTGGACAGATTGCAGGTGTAAAAAAATCGTATAACTTTGTTGTAAGAAAATACAACAACAAGAAATACTTTAAACATATGGAACAAAGGTATGTAATATGGTTTCACTGTGTTACACACAAGTAATGCGGATAAAACACTTTTACAGGGGCATCGTATTCTGCATTGCAGTCTCGTTTGAAAAAAAAATATTTTGAGGGTATTTCTCAAATATATTTGTTTTACAATTAACACTCACTACACATAAGACACGAATATCTACGCAGTTAAACTGGCTAAAATTGTCGTTTAAGGAAGACATTTTCAATAACAAAGTTTTAATTCTTTTGTTACAAAACTCTCGTTCCTTTAGTTATGTCTTTTATTTCATTTTATTCCAATTTTGCCATGAAAATATTGTCTTATTTACTGTACACTAATGATCAGTGAGTTCATTTCAACGTCCCTTAAGTTTAACTTTTGAAGTTTACTACGATTAAACTTGATAAATTGAATTTTTTAAAACAGTTATCGAATAAAAAAGTGCATTGTTTCTTATAAAAAAAAACTGAAGCAAAACTTAAAATTTGACAAAGTGACTGAACAACCTGTTGCAAGGCAGCGGAAAGATCAATCTTCTCTCTTTCTCCCAATTGCTTACTGTTCATGGTTTCACCACATTTTGGATAACTTAATGTCTCTGGCCACTTGGAGCTCTTCAGTCGGTCAGCAACTGCTCGTAGTGTCATTTCCGTCAAATCGTAGTAAAAAGCTGTGTCCACCTGGTGAGTTGAACAGTATTTTACTAAGAATTACATTATTCAGCTTTCTTCAACCCAGTTTGAATACATTCAATCATTAATTAGTGGATGATTATGTGTGTGGAACTCTGAAGAGTTTAAAGTACGTATTTTACACTTTGTATTTCGTGTTTGTGTGTGTAAAACTCTCATATTTTACGCTTGTATTTGTGTCGTGTAACGTCAAGCATACTTTTTATTAAGTATTTACACTTGTATTGTGTGCGTGTAAAGTCAAGCATACTTTTTATTAAGTATTTACATTTGTATTGTGTGCGTGTAAAGTCAAGCATACTTTTTATTAAGTATTTACACTTGTATTGTGTGCGTGTAAAGTCAAGCATACTTTTTATTAAGTATTTACATTTGTATTGTGTGCGTGTAAAGTCAAGCATACTTTTTATTAAGTATTTACACTATGTGGTTTGTGTATTTTCGTACTTGTTTTATAAGATCAGAGGTGCGTGTGCATTAGAAGTAACCTCTGGCTGTTAGGACTTAGTTTTAACATTTGTTCTTTTTTTACTATTTTACCCACTGAAATGTGTAATGTTGATGTAAAACTTAAGTTTTTTGTCTTTTGCTTTTCATAATTCACATACCATCGGATAGGCTCGAGTAAGCTGATTATCATTTAGCATCTTTACTCTTGTGGAATCTGTAGGTTCAGGATAAATGTAGAGAGCTGTAATATTGGAGCAGGCACACGAAGGTTTTCGATTTTGTTCTTCCTCTTCCTGAAAAAACAAACAAATGTATATTTAGCTGTTGGTGGCATTTATTATTTAATATTTTCAACCTGAATGATGCTTTAAACGACCTGGTCAGAGAGTCCAAAGTTCAGATTATAAACATCCACGTTTAAGAAGTGCTGACCAGAAGGAGAGAGCAACCAATCAGCAGTACAACCCACCTACGAGGTTACTCGAGGGAGCAGCCAGTCAGCAGCACCACCACCCACCTACAAGGCTACGCGAGGGAGCAACCAGTCAGCAGTACAACCCACATACAAGGCTACTCGAGGGAGCAGCCAGTCAGCAGCACCACCCACCTACAAGGCTACTCGAGGGAGCAACCAGTCAGCAGCACCACCCACCTACATGGCTACTCGAGGGAGCAACCAGTCAGCAGTACAACCCACATACAAGGCTACTCGAGGGAGCAACCAGTCAGCAGCATCATTAAAAGGGTAGTGATATTGACTATGATAACGCCCCCCCCTCCAAAGATGAAAGCGCGCAGTGAGTTCAGCGGTATATTACGGCTCGAACCTTGGACCTTCTGTCCAGCGCACACTAACCACTAAGCTACGTCCAGTCCATAAGATTAATTACTTATTGTTCCTTTCTATTTCTGTGGTAACTTAAATAATATAATATTAATTACTTGGTGGCGCTCTAATGTCTTTATATACCATGTCATTCAGTCTGAAAAAAGTATACAAAAGGTCGAGTTGTATGTATATATATATATACAGGATCTAGTGGTAGTCCTTAAAGAAATGTTACCACTAAATACCAGCAGATCACGTGTAATGATCAGTTCTGTCTACAAAGGTCTAGAGTGACCTTGATACCGATTCTAGCACACCAAGGGGTGTTTTAATAATTGCCACGTGCAAGTAATTAAATTGCAGTTGGTTATAAGTTAAACGTACGTACCTTCGAAATGAGAAACCATGCGTATTCCCGCCCATACATTCCATTTTCTTGAGCCTTAAAAGTAGAAGAAAGAACTTAGTAGAAACAACCATAAATTGTTTAATACACAGTAGAATGTTATGTAAAAAATATCACTGAAACCTCATTAAAAATCCAGAAATTCATTTTGCAGCCAGAAACAATTAATTTTAACTTCGACAAAATTATTATTTTGTAACGTATATACAGAGTAATGGGATTCTGTTGCCTCATTAATATAACGTGTGTTTTCAGTCAGCACAAGATCAGTGCCAGCAGTAGTTCCCGTAATCAAATAAAACTTTTATAAACTGACCAATCCTACAAACTTCTTTTGAGTTGACCAATTGCATGCTAGACGTTTTTGAACTGACCTATTCCATTATAGATTTAGCTAGTTCATTCTATACTTCTTTCAATTGACCATCTTATTTGGGATGGCTAATTTCGTTCCATATTTATTTGAACTGACCTATTCCAGCCTCATTTACGTTTATGTTTATAGTGTGTCATCTGATAGACATCCCTGTGATAGAAATCGTGTCTTTCTTACTTGTTCTACAACCCCCATTATCATATTTTTGGGCCATCCTGTATAATTTCAAAGTAGTCTAAGTTTATATATCTTTATAGATTTTTAAGAGCACCAGTATCCTCGTCTTTATTCAAATGTCTCTTAGAAATACATTAGACTTTTAATACACATTGTCTCGGGTGAAGAAAACCTTATACTCACTGTGCTCAGGGCATTAGTTAAAGTTTCCGTGGTTCCAACAATGAAGAAGTTATCAATATCACTTCTGTCTAGATCACGAGCTTTATTTTTCAAGTCCTCCGTTCTACCATCAACAGACAGGATCATATGACGGGTCTGTACGTTCTCAAGCAAAGTACTGAACTTGTGTTCCATTACTGAAAAGAAAAAAAGATAAAAGGTATCTGGTGTTTGTAAAACAACAACACGATTTTCATGTGTTTATAACTTTGCGAAAAATACTAGTTTAACGGTAACAACGTGATAAGGTGATTAAAATGGCGTCTTTTTTTTTTCTACGTTAGTCTCTCTTATGCCAGGCTGACCACGAATCTGGCATTCCTGAAAGAAGAAAAAAGACAGGAAATTGTAAGATGAGTCAAAAAGTTAGGAAAAATTGTGCCTTCCAGTTATTCTTCCTCAAAAAAGTGCACGCGCACGTAAATCATGCTGCTTAACTATACCAGTGATTCGTGTATTTCATCTTGGTTAACTCTTAGGTAGTTAGATAAATTACCAGTAGATGGCGTTTATTATCTTCTTCGTTGTATATGATGATAGGTTAGGTTTAATATTATTTTATATATTAAAATACGAATTTAATTGTCCATTATCAAGTTTTAATGTTCTTGTTTGAAGATTTATTTGTTCATTATCAAGTTTAATGTTTTTTGTTTGAATATTTTTTTGTTCATCATCAAGTTTTAATATTTTTGTATGAAGATATTTTTTGTCCATCATCAAGTTTTAATGTTTTTGTTTGAAGATTTTTTTTTGTCCATCATCAAGTTTTATCGTTTTTGCATGAATATTTTTTTTATCCATCATCATGTTTTAATGTTTTTGTTTGAAGTTTTTTTTGTCCATCATCATGTTTTAATGTTTTTATTTGAAGATATTTTCTGTCCATCATCTAGCTGTAATGTCCCACTTTTTGGACTGACAAGAGCTGACTAGCTGCTTTCCCTCTAGTCTTTCATTTAAAAATTATTGATGGCCAGCGCAGGTAACTCGTGTGTAGCTTAGTGAGAAAATCAACAAACAAACAAACTTTTCTCTCTTTTTAAATTATCTACTAAGAATAATTAAGTAAGAAGTGAATATAGAAAGTCTAGTTCTTATTGTGTAGCCCTTCCCAGTGATCCAGCGGTAAACTCGGAGGCTTATAAGGCTAAAAACCGGGTTTCGAAACCCGTTGTGGGAACAACACAGATATTCCATTGCACAGCTTTGCACTTAACAACAAACAAACATATAAAAATTCGTAGCATCTTTAACAACTGCCTCTTTTCTTACCGAAATTCACTCGCTAGTCTAGAATCCAGAGCACTGAAGCGTTAATAGATAAAACTAGGAACTTATTAGTTCCTTAGTGAAGTTTAATCGCTAGGCTGATTTACTGACCAAATTAAGACAACTATTCGGGATGACATTCACCCAGTTAAATGAATGATATTTTGCCCTAATATTGTGTCTGATCTTAAGTTTAATATGACATTTCTTAAATAGGTTGAGAAAAGATTTAAAATATATCTTATTAAATTTGGTAACAGCACAAGAGTTTACGTTTTTTTTTTTTTTTTGTAAAGCTAATTATATTCATCAGATCAGAAGTGGTTGTAGATTAGCACGTAAGTTGAAGCGACCTCTATAGTTCAACGCTTCAGTTTGCTCTGTTAACTCATCATAAAAGATAATGTCACATGCGTATACATCTCATTAATGAGTTACCAACAGAGTCGTCATAAAGAATCCCGCCGGATTTCATCTTCTGCACTATGGCAATGTCTCTGATGACCTGAAGGAGGTAGTCACCTGGCGGAGGAATCTGAACTAAGTACATAAGCTCCGACTCGGTCAATTTCTCCCAACCTTTTATTCCTGAGAGCCTCCCGTACGTAGCGCTAACTGTGGGGATTCCCAAATCCCTAGCAATCTTCTTCACAATGGATGAGGTTTTGACAAAGTTGTCATTAGGACGGAGTGTTGCGTCTATCATCACGTGGGGATTGGCCTTCATAATGTTATTGCACACTACATAAAATAGTATTGAAAGTATTAAATTTAGTTTTGATAATACAAATATATAAAGAAATTATAAGTAAATAAAGTTTCCAAAGAAGTTTTGGGAATCCAAAGTTTTTTACCACAGTAAAATTCTTAAGTCCACTATTGATTGACAAATTCCAGTTACCTAAAGTGCATTTCAAAAAAATAGGATGAGCGTGTTAACTAAATGTTTAGAAGGTATTTGGATTTGTACTTTATTTACACGTACCGCAACTGAAAAATGTTTGTTTTAGCGTTACTTGGCACCAGAAAAAATGTTAATATAACAACAATATTAAACTGTTTAACACTGCTTAAGACTTTCTAATGTTTAAGATGTACATTGTTCAATATTAATCATAAAATTGTATCATTCAAAGGTTACCGAACTGATTGTTTACTAAAACAAACACTCGGATGTACACTCTGTGATGTCATGGATAAAAAATATATTTCTGGATAGAATTGACTGTAAAGGTTTAAGTAAATAACTCAAAGTTTCCCGGACTGGGCTTTAAAAATCCATGTAAAGATAATAGATAAATTATTTTATCGAAGTAATCTCGACTTATTTCACTCAAATGTATAGAGAAAATGAAAGTGTTACATTTTCTGTAATCAATTGCTTCTGTGTTTATTGGATATACAATGATACCTTTGGCTTCGGTGTCGGAACTACCAATGTTTACTTGATGATGCACGAGCTCCACTTCTGTTTGGAGCTGAGCTGTTAAGCTATTAAAAGCTTTTGCAACAACTGCCTTTGGCGTATCATAGTCCAGCTCACCGACCAGCACTATATAAAAAAAGGAAGAACAAAGACTTCCTGTATTTTTTTCTCGTGAAATATTTTATTCTACTCTTTAATTCTGACGAAAAAATAAAAGTTAAAAATATATAAAATATATTATTGTAGCTTCCTATTTTGACATCATTAAGTTTCTACTCTTAAATAATTCATACATAATCTACATATTTACTCCTAAGAGTTTCCTACTATTGTGGCATTCCTGCTTTTAAACTATTCGCTACATTTTCTCTTTATTTAGTCTATGTTAATTTTGTTTTTTTTACTTTTAAGGGTAACATGAAGAATCAAGTCTGAATTCAAAAACCTGGAATCGGACCTTGTTAGTACCTTTATTACATACAAGTCTATCTAGAAATGACACAACATAATTAA